TGTATCTCAGTTGGGGCGTGTTGCCTCGGTAATGGTGGCCGCCCCTCCCCCTCAGAGCGTCTCGGGCCGTCTGCACGGGGCTTGTTTGAAATCGCGGTTTTGTTCGTCCCACTGGGCCAATCCTAACGCTCTGTTCCTGCAATCCCCTGGGCTGGCCCACTGTCCAAGTCTAGCTCAGTCTCAGTCCAGCCCTCTCACGTCTCCGGTTGCCGGTTCAACGGGGCACCCGGACAAGTGCGCCCTGTGGGGAGCGCTGGGTAGGGCCGGCCGCCGCCACCCCAGCTGCCGGCTTCGCCAGGCGGAATATCTGCCTGGTGTCCCGCGTCTCCTCTTCACTTGGGAATTTCCCCGTTCTGTGGGCAACAAAGATCAGTCTGGAAATGCAGCTCAGACTCACCTCTCCGCAGACACAACGAGAACTCCGATCCTGGGTTGTTCTCACAGTGCCATCTTCCCAGGTGCTTTTATAAGAATCGCTTTTTACTTTTCTAAGTATGTATGTGACAGGGTCCTGCTCTGCTGCCCAGGCTGGAGGGCAGTGGTGCAATTATGGCTCACTGCAGCTTTGACCTCCTGGCTCAAGAGGTTCTCCCACCTCAGCCTCCCAAGGAGCTGGGACTACAGGCACATGCCACTATGCTAGGCTATTTTTTTTTTTTTTTTGAGGCAGGGTCTCATTCTGTTGCACAGACTGGAGTGCAATGGTGTGATGTCAGCCCACTGCAACCTTCACCTTCTGGGTTCCTGAGTAGCTGAGACTACAGGCATGTGCTAGCATGCATGGCTAATTTTTGTATTATATTTTTTTGTAGAGAGGGTGTTCACCATGTTGCCCAGGCTGGTCTTTAACTCCTGGACTCAAATGATCTGCCTACCTTGGCCTCCCAAAGTATTATTATTCTGATTTAGATTATAGGCATGAGCACCATGCCTGGCCTAGTTTATTTTAAATTGCATTATGATTAGAGAATTGATAAGTTTTTAAAATGTATTGAGACTTATTTGTGGCCAAGTGCATGTTCACTTTTTGTATAAGTTCTATGTGTTCTTTGATAGAAAGTATATTTATTATTTGTTGGCTAATCTGTTAGATAAAGACAATTATATTTGTTATCAATGACATCTGTTTCCTCAACTTTTTTTTGTTCTGGCTTTATTGGTTTCTGTTAGAAGTGTATTAAAAATCATCAATTATAATTATAGAAAAAAATTCCTTATAATTGTGGCCATTTTTGTTTGGGAGTATCTTATTTGACTTATGTAAATCTTCTTGTTTCCTTTCATTCTTATGCAGTGTCTGTTATAGCTTTCTTCATCCTTTATTTTCAAACTTTGTATGTCATTTATCAATAAGAGCATTCTTTTTATAACCAGTCTGATACTTTCTGCCTGTTAATAAGTAAATTTAACTTATTTACATTATTACATAACTTGAGGTTGTCTTAACCACCTTATTTTTTATGTTTTCTATTGTCTGTCTGCTGCTGGATTGAATGGGTTTTCATTATGTCTTTATTGTTACTGGTTTGGAAAGATGTTATAATGCTTTAACTTGGTTTCATCTGTTTTTTAAGTTAGATAATATTTTACTTTGTTGTTTTGAATACACCCACACCCATTTAATCATCAGTGTTATTTTTATGGTCTGTACTAATTTAGATTTAGCATGTTTTTTGATATCTTCATGAATCTTTTTTTCCAGATTCAATTTTCCTCCTTCCTGAAGTGTAGATGCTTCATTACTTCTTTCTGTGAAAATCTAAGTCTTAAACTCTCCAGTCTTTTAGGAAATTGTTACTTTGCACTTATTCTTCAATGACAGTTTATCTGAATGTAATTCTAGATAGCCAGTTTTTCCTTCTCAGCCCATTAAAGGTATCCTTATATTGTCTGTTGGAAATATAAGGATAGAAATGTTAGAATGTTAGAAACGTTAATGAACCATCTGCTGTCAGCTTTTTAGATAATTATGCTGCTAGACTATTCTCTGTTCTTTTAAAATAATGGTTTGGTAGTTTAGGGAGTACTCTCTTTACCTTTAAAAATTTGTACTTTCACTCTGATGTATACACATATAGATTTGTTTTCTTTATTCTTCGTGAGATCCATGTCTTCAGTTTGGGAGATTCTCAGCATTAGCTCTCTAAATATTGACATTCTCTCCTCTTGGGATGTCTTGTCTTTTCTTTTGGAGACAGAATCTTGCTCTGTTGCCCAGGCTGGAGTGCAGTGGCAAGATCTTGGCTCACTGCAACCTCCACCTCCCAGATTCAAGTGATTCTCATGCCTCAGCCTCCTAACTGAGACTACTGGCATGCAACACCACACCTGGCTAATTTTTTTTTTTTTTGAGATGGAGTTTCGCTTTTGTTGCCCAAGCAGGAGTGCAGTGGCGTGATCTCGGCTCACTGCAACCTCCGCCTCCCGGGTTCAAGTGATTCTCCTGCTTCAGCCCCCAAGTAGCTGGGATTACAGGTGCCTGCTACTATGCCTGGCTAATTTTTGTATTTTTAGTCTAAACAGGCTAACATTTTCACCATGTTAGCCAGGTTGGTCTCGAACTCCTGACCTCAGGTGATCTGCCTGCCTCAGCCTCCCAAAGTGGTGGGATTACAGGACTGAGCCACGACATCCGGTCTTAATTTTTGCATTTTTAGTAGAGTTGGGGTTTCTCCATGTTGGCCAGGCAGGTCTCCTGGCATCAAGTGATCCTTCCTCCCCCACCTCCCAAAGTGCTGGGATTACAGGTGTGAGTCACTGCACTCAGCCCTCTCTGGGATTTCTTTCTATAACTTCTGTTATAGTAGGTACATAACATCTGTCTTCAATGGATGTTAACCTGTCTTTTGTGTTTTTATCCCTTTGTTTTCTGTATCTTCTTGTTGGTGATTTCTTTCTGTCTTCTAATTCATGCATTCCTTTTTATCAGATTTCTTAATTACAGTGACTATGTTTTTCATTTATGTAATTTGTATTTGGATCTTTTTCAAATTCAGCATTCTTTTGTGATAAAATCTGGGTTTGCCTAATGTTTTTTATTTGTGTTTTTTTTTTTCAAATGGTAATTTAAAATCTTTTAAAAATTGTTAGTAGTATCTCTTGTTCTTATAATACAGATTTTCTGTTCCCTCACATCTGCTGATTCTCTCAGTGGCTTATTTCTTTACACAATTTGTTATCTTTTTGAAGTCATCTTTAGCAGTTTGCTTTCTGAGAAAGTTTATATATTGTAGATCAGTAAATGTCCATATAGGGTGGTTTTCAATTTACCTTTACTAGTTCAGAGTTTTCATTGATTCCACACCAGCTTTTCCTATTTTAAAGTTTTGGCATGGTGTCCTATATCATCTGGATAAGGTGAATTTGGACTTCCCTCGTTAAATTACTCACGAGAATCTTTTCTGCCCATGGCTCTGGTTTTGTTTCTGCTCACCTAAGGTTGTGGGTAGAGTTTTTGTAGTCTGTGCTTCACAGGTTTATCCCTTCATGACTCACATGTATCAGCTTCTAGCTTTTAAGCTATATTGGCTTCTGTTCCTGTTTATTGCTCTCACTTTGAATTGCTGCTTTATTCTTGGTACCAGGGAATTTCCTTTGCCTGAGTTTGAACTTAGCAATGTTTCCTCCATTACATTTTATCCGACATTTTCGTGGATTTAGAGTAGAATAGTCTTCTCAATCATCTGGGTCCATTATATTAATTGGAAACTTCCATTTAAGTCCTTGTGATTCTTGTTAGGGAAATTTGAAAAATCAGGTAATGGCACTTCTAAGACACCTTTAACTCTTTTTTAGGTACATTTCTTTTGACCAAGTAATCCTAAGATATAGAAATATTTCTTAAAGCTTCATACTGTTAAAGGATATGGTACTGATCTCCCCCTTTTTTTCCTGGGTATGGAAATTGTGTTTTGTGTTACTTCTGAATGTCTAAGAAAAATAAGATATCTGATTTTTAAAATCCTTAACGTGTCTCCTTCACATAACCTCAGAAGATCCTAGATAGTCTAGAAAGGTGACATTTTAACAGCAGAAGAAGTGATACGCTTTTGAATATGTTTATTGTGGTGTTAACCTTTAAAAGTGAAAGGGGGACTTAACAATAGCGACAGAGTTCAGTACATTATGTTAATTTCAGTTTATTGACTTACTGTATAGCCATTTAACATGCTTATAAAGATTACATTGAGATAGATATTCCTTTTATATTGCTGTGGGAAAACAGTATAAAATTGTGTATATGCTATAGATGAAAATTGGAAGGGAATATTAAAAGTAAAAATGGTTGGATGGTGGTGGTAGGATTATGAGCAGTTTTTCCTTTAAAAACAATTGCTTTCAATAATATTGTCATTCTTGCAGTCTTAATGTAGGATTAAGTAAATAGTATTCCTATTCTTGCTAGTTTCCAAGTAGAATGAAAAAGCATAATTAAAAAAGGAGTGATAGGTAGAGATCAATATAGTCACCTTTATTTCTGAGGAAGCTTGATATTAAAGTGTGTAGCTGAAATGTGAGCCACATTGGGTCTGCTCACTAAACCTCTCATTAACCTCCCCAGGTCCAGCAACACTCCAAACCAGAGAAGGTCTCCCGAACACCCTGCCCACAATTAGAACAGGGCCTGTCTCTAGAAAAGCAAGGTTAAAACTTGTATTCTCTGCAGGTAGGCTAATCTCAAGAAGATAATGAGTGGAACAGAGCTGAACTTGAGCAGTTCATTCTTCCTACACGTATTAGTCAGGTACGTTAGTTCACTTGAAGTTAATAGAGGGCCACAGAAAGGCTAATACTTAGTGTTTGAGTTCCTACTACAAGGAAGGAGGAATCATGAGTTGAGGATAAGTTCTTAATGGCTATATTCATTTTAGATTAAGAATGCTACATGCATATATTGGCATTTGTTGATTAGGTTACTTGGTAACATGTAATTACTAAAGTTTAATTTTTATTTTTGTTAGGATCTTCAGTATATTCCACTTATTATTTTCTGCTTTTAGGCATTTAAATGCAGAATTGCAGGCCAAAACAGCTGACATGGTTCAACAAGCTGAGGAAATAATAGTAAGTAAATGTACAGTTATTAATAATTCCATATAAATGCTTGTGTTTTAACTTTTTAATTTGATATGTGATATACATACAAAAAATTAGCCAAAGGATGAGGGTCCAATTCAATGAATGATTACAAACTGAACATGAATATATATGCATAGGTGTAGGTATATGTATATGCATAAATTTTTAGTAAGCACACATTTTCTGAAAATCACTGAAAAGGTATTTTCCATTTAGATCCACCAGTCAGCTAAATTATCATTATAAATTATTATTACTAATTGATAGGATAGAGTAACTCTCCTTAGAAGAGTAAAGAGTCTATTTTTAAGCTTTTACTAGTTCTTACCTAATTTTAATTCTTACTTTCTGTCCTCCCTATCCCCGAAAATGAAGTTGATGGAACCAGGGAAGGAAACCTAGGCAATATTTTATCTTAATGCCTTATACAAATCAATGATTGTTAGTTTAGGAATAAGAAATGTGTCATACATAACATTTCAAGTAACATATTTTGATAATGGTTACAGATTTGCTAGTTAGATTTATAATTAAATGTTTTACTAAAAATATTTTTATTTCATCTTTTAATTTTTGCCAGTGTCTGAAGAGCAGGAAAATATTGTACAAAAGGACCCCACAGTATAGTAGAATGCCAGATTCATTACATTTTCTGCTTAGAGAGCCCCCTATAAAGAATTTCCCCCTGCAAATAAAAAACATAATAGAAAATTGAGACAAGCTGGGAAAAGGGTTGGGGAGTAGATTCCCACCCCTGCAGAAGAAAACAATATAAGGTTTCTATATTTAATTTTTGTATACTCTCTTTAAAATTTTAATGTTTGTAGTTACATAGTAAATGTGTATATTAATAGGGTAAATGAGATATTTTGATACAGGCATGCATTGGGTAATAATTACATCATGGAAAATGGGGTATCCATCCCCTCAAGTATTTATCCTTTGTGTTACAATACAATTATACTCTTTTAGCATTTTAAAATGTACAGTTATTTTGACTATAATAAACCTGTGTGCTATCAAATATTAGATACTATTCATTCTTTCTACCTGTATTTTTTTGTACCCATTAACCATCCTTACCTCCCTCTCCTGCATCCCCTCACTATCCTTCTCAGCCTCTGGTAACCGTGCTTAACTCTCTATCTCTATATGTTAAGTTGTTTTGATTTTTAGATCCCTCAAATAAGTGAGAACATGTGAAGTTTGTCTTTCTGTGCCTGGCTTATTTCACTCAAAGACCTCCAGTTACATCCATGTTGTAGCAAGTGACAGGGCCTTGTTATCTTTTATGGCTGAATAGTACTCCATTGTGTATATGTACCACATTTTATTTATCTGTTCATTTGTTTGTGGATACTTTGGTTGCTTCCAGATCTTGGCTGTTGTGAATAGTGCTGCAACAAACATGGAAGTGCACATATCTCTTTGATATTCTGATTTCCCTTCTTTTGGGCATGTACCCAGCAGTGGGTTGCTGTATCATATGATAACTTTAATTTTTTGAGGAACCTCCAAACTGTTTCCTTTGTGGTTGTACTAATTTACCTTCCCACCAACAGTGTACCAGGGTTCCCTTTTTCCACATCCTCACCAGCATTTCTTATTGCCTGTCTTCTGGATATAAGCCATGTTATCAGAGGTGAGATGATATTGTAGTTTTGATTTGCATTTCTCTGATGATCAATGATGTTGAACACCTTTTTTTTAACGCCTGTTTGCCATTTGTATTTTTTTTTTTTTTGAGAAATGTCTATTCATATCTTTTGCCCATTTTTAAATTGGGTTATTAGATTTTTTTCTTATAGAGTTGTTTGAGCTCTGTATATTTTCTGCCTTGTAATCCCTTGTTGATGGGTAGTTTGCAAATATTTTCTCCCGTTCTGTGGGTTTTCTCTTCACTTTATTGGTTGTTTCCTTCACTGCAGAAGCTTTTTAACTTGAAGTGATCCCATTTGTCCATTTTTGCTTTGGTTACCTGTGCCTGTGACATATTATTCAAGAAACCATTGTCTACTCCAATGTCCTGAGTTTCCCCAATGTTTTCTTCCAGTAATTTCATAGTTTTGAGGTCTTAGATTTAAGTCTTTAATCCATTTTGATTTGATATTTGTATATGGGAAGAGGAAGGGGTCTAGTCTCGCTCTTCTGGATGTGGATATTCAGTTTTCCAAGTACCATTTATTGAAGAGAATATCCTTTATCCAGTGTGTGTTCTTGGCAACCTTGTCAAAAATGAGTTCACTGTAGGTATACGGATTTGTTTCTGGATTTTTCTCTATTCTGTTCTACTGGTCTGTGTGTCTGTTTTTGTGCCAGTACTGTGATGTTTTGGTTACTGTAGCTCAATAGTATCATTTGAAATCAGGTAATGTGATTTCTCCAGTTTTGCTCCTTTTGCTTAGGATAGCTTTGGCTGTTCTGGTCTTTTGTGGTTTCATATAAATTTTAGGATTTTTTCTCCATTTATGTGAAAATGCAATAGGTATTTTGAAAGGGGTTTCATTGAGTCTGTAGATTGCTTTGGGTAGTATGGACATTTTAACAATATTGATTTTTCTAATCCATGAACATGGAATATAATTTCATTTTTTTTGTGTCCTCTTCAATTTCTTGCATTGATGTTTTATGGTTTTTGTTGTAGAGATCTTTTACTGCTTTGGTTATGTTAACTCCTAGGTATTTAATTTTATTTGTGGCCCTTTATTTTGGGATTACTTTTTATTTTTTTTCAGATTGTTGACTGTTGGCATATAGAAATGCTACTGATTTTTGTATGTTGATCTTGTATCCTGCAAATTTACTGAGTTTATCACTTCTGATAGTTTTTGGTGGAGTCTTTAATTTTTTCCTAATATAAGAGCATGCCATCTACAGACAAGGATAATTTGACCTCTTCCTTCTGATTTGGATGCCCTTTATTTCTTTATCTTGTCTGATTGCTCTAGTTAGGACTTTCAGTACTGTGTTGAATAGCAGTGGTGAAAGCTGGCCAGTTCTTAAAGGAAAGGCATTCAGTTTTCCCATTTGGTATGACACTAGCTGTGGGTCTATCATATATGGCCACTATTATATTGAGGTCTGTTCCTTTCATACCTAGTTTTTTAAGTGTGTTTACCACGAAGGGATGTTGAATTTTATCTAATGGTTTTTCCAGGATCAGTTGAAATGATAATATGGTTTTTGTCCTTCATTCTGTTGATATGATGTATCATATTGATTAATTTGTGTATGTCAAACCAGCCTTGCATCCCTGGGATAAATACCATGTGGTCAGGGCAAATGATATTTTTAATGTATTATTGAATTCTGTTTGCTAGTGTTTTTTGAGGATTTTTGCATCAACATTCACTAGAGATATTGGCCTGTAGTTTTCTTTTTTTGATGTGTCTTTCTCTTGTTTTGTATCAGGGTAATACTAGCCTCATAAAATGAGTTTGAAAGTACTCCCTCCTCTAATTTTTGAAATAGTTTAAGTAGGATTGATATTAGTTCTCTAAATGTTTGATAAATTCAGCAGTGCAGTCATCAGGTCCTGGACTTTTCTTTACTGGGAAATTTTTTTTTTATTGTGGCTTCAATCTTGTTACTTGTTATTGTTCTGTTTAGGTTTTAGATTTCTTTATGGTTCAATCTTGGTAGGTTGTATGTGTGTGTCTAGCAATTTATTGGTGTCTTCTAGATTTTCCAATTTATTGGCATATAGTTGCTCACAATAGCTACTAACGAGCCTTTGAATTTCTGCAGTGTCAGTTGTAATGCCTCATTTTTAATCTCTAATTGTATTTATTTGGGTCATCTTTCTTCTTTGTTACTCTGCTAATTTTGCTTATCTTTTAAAAAAAAACTTTTTGTTTCATTGATCTTTTCTTCATTTCAAATTCATTTATTTTTGCTCTGATCTTATTTTCTCCTGCTAATTTTGTATTTGGTTTGCTCTTGCTTTTCTGGTTCTTTAAGATACATTGCTGGCTGGATGTGATGGCTGATGCCTGTAATCCCAGCACTTTAGGAGGCCAAGGCAAGTGGATTACTTGAGCCCAGAAGTTTGAAACCAGCCTGGGCAACATAGTCCAAGTTCATCTCTACAAAAAATACAAATTAATCAGATGTGGTGGTGCATGCCTATAGTCCCAACTACTTGGGGGGCTAAGGAGGGAGGATTGTTGAGCCCAGGAAGGTCCAGGCTGTAGTGAGCCATGATTGTGCCACTACACTACAGCCTGGGAAACAGAGTGAATCTCTGGGGGAAAAAAAAGAAAGAAAAGATGCATTGCTAAGTCATTTATTTGAAATTTTTATTTTTTTTGTTATAGGCACTTACAGTGACATATTTCCTTCCTAGAACTGCTTTCAGTCTATCTGTTGTGTTTTCATTATCATTTGTTTCAAGAAATTTCTAAATTTCCTTCCTAATTTCTTCATTGACCCACTGGTCATTTAGGAACATACTGCCCATTTTCTATGTCTTTGTATGGTTTTCAAAGTTGTTCTTATCCTAGTTTTATTCCATGTGGCAGAGAAGATGCTTGATACTGTTTCAGTTTTTAAAATATTTTACAACTTGTTTTGTAACCTAACATATGGCCTGTTCTTGAGAAGGATATATATGCTGAGAAGAATAATGTGTATACTGTAGTCTTTGGATGAAATGTTCTGTAATGTCTGTTGAGTCCATTTGTTCTGTAGTGCAGATTAAGTCTGATGGTTGTTGAGTTTCTTTCTGGGAGAGCTGTTCTGTGCTAAAAGTGGGTGCTGAGGTCTCCAGTTCTTACTGTATTGCAGTCTAGCTCTCTCTTTAGCTCAAATAATATTTGCTTTATGTATCTGGGTGCTCCAGTGTTGTGTCCATATATATTTACAGTGATTATATCCTGTTGTTGGGTTGACCCCTTTAGCATTATATAATGACCTTCTTTGTCTCTTATTACAGTTTTTGTTTTGAAATCTATTTTGTTTAAGTATAGGTTCACCTGCCTTTTTTG